GAAAAGTTATATAATGTCTTTGAGCTCATTCTCTATTCTGAAAACAAATATAATTATGTTGCCTTATATATTTATTGTTAGGATTAAATTGATATATGTACATTGCAGAGTCTAGTACCTAGCATATGGTAAGCACATATAAAAAGTGTTAGCAATTATTTTTATTAGTGGTAGTAGCTGTAGGTACTGTCAGAGAACAAAATATGAATGAAAGTCTCTGTCTAAATGTACTCTCAGTCAAGTTAGAGAGACCAATGAAAAGAAAGTGATTCAAGTGTTAAAAATATATGACAATTCAACATTAGCTTTTACATATTTGAAGGTTATCAATACTCATGAACATCTTGGTGGCCTATGAATTAAAAAAATTTTTTTTTTAAATTTTAAACACAAAATAATTCTCAGTAAATAGTGGCTAAATAAAATTTAATTTGAAATTGTATGGTGGCACTACTAGTGATAGCAATCTAAAAGACACCTTGGTTATGGTGAAAAAAGTGTCAGACCAGCAATTCTGTTTACCCAGGTTTCAGTTTCCATATCAGCTACTGACTTGGTTACTGTTTGGATAGACACTTTTCTTATCTGGGCCTCTGTTTATTCATCATTGAGTGATGATATAGTGATGTGATATAATGATTTTTTTTTTTTAAGTAGATGAAAGATGACCTGGCAAGGCTGAGGCCCTGGTGGAACTGAGTTAGGTGCTCCTAAACAACATAGGATATATGGCAAGCAGAGTAAAGCTGAGAAATGTCAGTTTGTAAAACTGCTTACAACATAATTCAAGGACCGGACTGATGATTCTACCCTAAGACTTTAATCTGACTTCAAGTGTCAGAGTATCTGAACATCAGCCATTTGTGTAAGAGGCAGGAGGGATTCATCTTTAAACCCTATTTGGCAATTATTGTTTCTCTTCTGCCACTTACAAAGAGTCATTCCACAAGATCTTGAGCCACTTTCCTTTGGCACCCGAGAAATGGACAGAGAGCATGATGTGTATCTTAGCAGGACCATGGCCAGGCCTAACAGAACTTGAAATCAGACTTTTTACCCCAGAGATTCCTCCTAATAACCAAGGGAACTCTCTGCTCCCAAACATTAATCTTGGGATTAGGAAAAGAGCTGCCTAACTAATAAGGTCTCCAGGTACTCTGCTGTTTGGATTATGTCTTCTGCTATTGATTATCTGGGAGTAGTCAGTGCTATTTTGGGGAAGGGGACCCAAGAGTTTGGGCAGACCATTTGCACATTCTTAGGAAACCTCAAGCCAGAGTTACTGCTTTGTGACAATGAGAAGCTTCTTCCAGGAGTACGGGCTGTGAGAACCTAGAAGAAATTAGTGTTCAGGAAATTAATTGTCTGTCCTTCACTTCTAATCTCAGGCACTGGAAGAAAGGGATAGGCACTGTTTCCTTTCTGCCCAGTACTTTTACATAGTGCTTTCTGGGAGGTATCTAAAGATCTGCCATTGGAGGGGGAATTCCAATTAAACTGTAGCTCTGCTCAGTAAGATGTTCGTGACCTTCAGATAAAGAGAAAAAACTTGTAGACTACTTGATAAAAGGGCAAATTTTTACACAGTGGCCTAAACTTAAATAACTGATAGGTTTAAATAATTATTAGGAAAGACAATTATGATCTGGGGAACATTTTATAACTATTTAGTAAAAATCCATATCTATTATTGCAGGCATTCAAATTTCCAGAGTGGGGGATGCGACTCTTGGACATGAACACAGCTCTCTAGAAGACCTGAAAAACAAGCCCCTTGGTGAGTTTCATTTCCTGACATATAGAATATTTATTAGTTTATATATTCAGTTATCACACAGCCAGTGATAATTCTATAGAAAGGGGAACATGATCTTTCCTAGAAACTATTGTGATTTCTGATTTAGGAAATGTGGATGTATAGACTAACATAGAGAAGAGGGACATAAGACTTCAAAGGCCTTCAGTTGGGTCCTGCACAAAAAGATTTTCAAAAATGTAAGCTCCATGAGGACAAGGACCATTCCTTGGTCATCTTTGTTTTCTGAGTATTAGCACAGTACTTACACCTTATGACTACTCAACACATAGGGCTACTGAAGAAATGGTTTTGTTTGGATTTGAAGCAAAGTGTTACTATTCATGGGAAACAAACAAACAAAACAAAACAAAAAAAGGGAATGATGAGATAAAAAAGCTCTATTCACTGAGACAAAATGCAAATCGTGTATTCATCCAAGATTGAGTCAGGAGCAGGCTTTGTTTCACGTTGGTGTGGGGGGAGTCATTTATTTGAAATAAATAAAAAGTAGCAAAAACTCCACAAGTCAAAGAAATTATCTGGATTTTGAGGTTTCTGTCCATCTGTACCTTCCCTATTTTTTGGTCTCTCATGCTTCCTCCTACACCCTAGATGAGTAATCCTACCCTTGCCAATGTTTTTCATTTCCCCATCCCACTCTGCATCCCTTTGCTGACTGTTCTATCTGTTAGAAACTCCTATATGGTGGTGCTGGGGTTCAGTTTTTTTAGAGTGTTAGCAATTAAGAGCTGTTTAATGATCTGCAGGAGAGGGAAACAGAAATATTCTAGGCTACCAGCATGAGTAAGATCTTCTGGCCAACAAAGTGAAATTAACTTATTCATCCTGAATAACCTGGATGAATTTCAAATCAAATGTGTGAGTATAGTGAAAACTGTGATTTTATAGTGGTGAATTCCAAACTATTGCTTATAACGCAGAAACACAATCTAGAAGTCACAGATTAGCCCTACATATATATTAGCTGAGGGGACTAACATGATCTAAGGGAGAAATAAAATATTTGGCATCTTCAAGGAGATTAGAATCAAAGATGAAAGTCTTATTATTCTTAATTCAAACCTTTGTTGATATAGTACATGTAACAGTGCATGTTCTGATCAATGTACCTCAAGAAAAATTTTTAAAGAGTAAGAAAAAGTCCATTTGAACAATTGGAAAGTTAATGATAAAATTTATAAAATCAAGACTAGAACAATCACAAGCTTATTTACATACCCTAGAATGCTAGGTTTAAGCCTGTCTTCTCTGAAGTATTTTTGCTTCTCTGAAGTATTTAAACTGGTTTAAATATTTAAATATGTGTGTGGAAAATAAAAAGAAGTACAAAGTAATTCCCTGGCCACCCAGTGGTTAGGATTCAGCCCTTTCACTGCTGAGGACTCAGATTCCATTGCTGGTTGAAGAACTAAGATCCCGCAAGTTGCATGGCATGACCAAAAAGAAGAAAGTACTAGTAAAACTACTATTTATTAAAGGCTCCTTATATGTTGAGTGCTGTATCAAACTCTTCAATATATTAACTCATGTAACACTTATGTCAACTTCATGGAGTATTACTGTATTCAATTTATAAATGAGTTTAAATATTATGCCTAAAACTTAGAGAGGCTAATGAAGGAATTTAGGGGTTTCCCAGGTGGCTCAGTGAGTAAAGAATGCACCTCCAATGTAGGAGACAAATGTTTCATCTCTGGATCAGGAAGACCCTGTGGAGGAGGGCATGGCAACCTCTATCAGTATTCTTGCCTGGAGAATCCCATGGACAGAGGAGCCTGGCAGGCTACAGTCCATGGGATCACAAAGAGGCGGATATGACCGAAGTGACTTGGCATGCATGCATGTAGGAATTTGTGCAAGAAATCTCCATCAGCTGACTTTTTAAAAGAGTGTTATGACAACAGTCAGGAGGAAGACTTGGACTTCTGAAATAAAGGGAATTAATTAGGAAAACTTTTCTGAGGCTGAAAGTTGAGTGTTGGTAAAGGCATGGAGAGGAAAAGACAGAGTGGAGAGAATTTCAGGAAACACTGATTTCAGGAACGAACAGGAAACGGATATAATTAGGATCTATCTTAGCTTCCTGAATGGCAGGAATGGTTAAACAGTGGGTAATCAGGAGTAGATATGGGTTTATGGGCAACATTAACTCTGCTCTAGTATGGTCTCCAATCCTGAGTTCACATCAAATAAGCACATTTCTATCTCCGTCATAACTTGGTATATACAATATTGAAATAAAAAATAGAACATCTGTTACAGAATATCTTCTCTGATTAAATGTTTTATCTTTCCCACACTAGGAAAACCTTTTCATACTTGAAGTGACTGGAAGGGATAAGTTAAGATTTATTTCATTTATTTCATTCTCTCCTTGCCTTTGGCTAGAATTCAGGGAAATAAGCTAAATACCTGCATGGTCTTTTTGAGTCTCTTATGATCACAGTAGATTTTAATGCTGGACTTAGGGAAGTAAAGCCTAGGACAAAGGGATCTGAGAAGTCATCCTAGGACGCTTGCAGGACATTTGGTATTGATAGTGCATTCTGGCTGTGCTGAAAGAATATCAGCCGTGGGTATCTTTTGTCTTTCACTTAGATCACTGTTCCCCATTGGATGCTGAGGGGGCTAAATCAAAAGTGCTGGAGGAGGACACTTGCTTTGGCCAGTTTATTTTTGACCATTGAATGAATCTAAAATGATATGTCACCATCTTGCCTTGCATTTCTCTGATTAATACTGACATTTGAATATGTCTTCATATGTTTATTGACTGTAAATATCTTCTCTCCTGAAAAAAAAAAAAAAAAAGAGTGCTAGAGGAAGAACTTTAGAGTTGGGCTTCTTCCTGGACCTGGGCTCACCTCTTCAATGGCTGGGTAATTATTTCTACAAATCTGCCTTTGGATGTGCCTCTCTTTTCTTTCTCAGATCTATTTCTGCCATAAACCCCAGGGTTCTGGGGTAAAACCTTTATAGTACCAAAGAAAAGAGGGGGGAAAGTGATGGCTCTGAGCGTGTGGTCTAAGCGGAACCTTGACGACTCTTGAGGTCTCAGGCATTGCTCAGAGAGTGGACACACCCTTCACTGAAGTCCTCGGTCCAGCCTACTATCTTTCATGATTAACTCATCATACCTTTCTTTCCTTTGCTGAGCTCTTTTCGATCTTAGCTTCCCTCAATGCCAAAGCGAAACTCCACGTGTGTGGCTGAGTTCCTTTTTGAAGGTTTCTCCAGCTTCGGGTGGCAGCACAGGCTTGGTTTCTTTGTTGTCTTTCTAACTTTGTACCTGCTGACTCTCTCTGGCAATGTCGTTATTTTGACTATTATTCGCCTGGACCGTCATCTTCATACTCCCATGTACTTTTTCCTAAGCGTGCTGTCCATCTCTGAGACCTGCTATACTGTGGCCATCATCCCCTGTATGCTTTTTGGCCTCCTGAGTCCTCATCAGACCATTTCTCTCCAAGGCTGTGCCACTCAGCTCTTTTTCTATCTAACCTTTGGTATCAATAACTGCTTCTTGCTCACAGCCATGGGATACGATCGTTACATGGCCATCTGCAACCCTCTACGGTATTCGGTCATCATGGGTCAAGGGGCCTGTATCCAGTTGGCATCTGGGTCCCTGGGAATTGGCCTGAGTATGGCCATTGTCCAGGTAACATCTGTGTTTGGCCTGCCCTTCTGTGATGCCTTTGTCATCTCTCACTTCTTTTGTGACGTGAGACCCCTGTTGAAGCTGGCCTGCACAGACACCACTATCAATGAGATCATCAACTTTTTGGTCAGTATTTGTGTCCTTGTTGTACCCATGGGCCTGGTCTTCCTCTCTTATGTCCTCATCATCTCCACCATCCTCAAGATTGCTTCAGCTGAGGGTCGGAAGAAGGCCTTTGCCACCTGCGCCTCCCACCTCATCGTGGTCATCATCCACTATGGCTGTGCCTCTATCATTTACCTGAAGCCTAAGTCCCAGAGTTCCCTGGGGCAGGACAGACTCATCTCAGTGACCTACACAGTTATCACCCCTCTGCTCAATCCTGTCGTGTACAGTCTGAGGAACCAGGATGTCAAAGATGCTTTGTGCAGAGCCACGGGGCAAAAACCCCTCTCCTCTTAGTCAGGAGAGTCTGTGGAAGGCCTTTTCTCTCATTTTGTAAATATATATTAATTTTAATGCTGTTTTAATAATGCTGCTAAGTATGGGATCAAGAATAGACTGAATTGGATGCTAAAACTGGAGGCTTCCATTTGAGTTAGTCATGGTTCTCTGTGTTCTCCTCAAGAGAGGATAGAAAATGACTTATCATACCCTTAAGAATATAGGGAAAAGATTTATCTGTTTGGGTCATTCATACCCATATTCTGTCACACACTGGTGTACATATCTAAATATGTCCTGAGAATATGTTGGATTGTACAACTGCAATAAGACACAAAATTCAGAAGAGTTCTAAAAGGCTAATGAATAAAGTGCTTGGAAACCACCTCAGGAAAACCTCTGTTGTGGTGGTGAAGGGCGTAGGAGTAATTTGTGCAAAATTTTATTTAACAAGTAAGTGTGGAGACACATGCATGTTCCTTTTCTGTGGATGTTGAAGGCTTTTTGTAATCTGATTTTGCTCCTTGCTAATATCCCACCACAGCCTGAGGGATCTTCAAAAGGCAAACGAATGAACAAAAAGCCCACTCTCCAAGTGGATAGAACTGCCCTAACTGACTGTTTCTGGAAATGAGGAGTACAAACGTGGTAATACAAAAGATCTTCAGCTATTGAGAGCACAGAGGCGGGTTGTCCAGTCCCAGGATGCCTGGGTAAAAACTAGTGAGAAAACTCCAGTTGGGGAAGGAGATCATGATGAACAGTTTCATGCTTTCACACCTCCAACACAGGAGTGAAAGAGGATAGAGGCTGGGAGGAGCCAAGAAGAATCAGAGTTCCTTTTGCAGAGTAGACCTAAATCTTTGAAATAGTGTTATAAATGTAAGCACCTTAACTACAGCTTCTGAAGTCATTTATTAATGAGCAGAAGTCTGAAGCTTGATTTAATGAAAAAATTTTCCAGTCAGCTTCTAAGCTATCATGGTTTCCCAGCAGCTCAGTGGTAAAGAATCTGCCTGCCAGTGCAGATGAGGCAGGTTTGACCCCTGGGTCAGGAAGATCCCCTGGAGAAGGAAATGGCAACCCACTCCACTATTCTTGCCTGGGAAATCCCATGGACAGAAGAACCTGACAGGCTACAGTCCATGGGTTCACAAAAGAATTGAACACAACTCAGCAACTTAACAACAAAAACCACCTAAGCTTTCAGAGGTTAATTTTCAGAAATTTCTTCTTAGATATTCCCAGCTTAAACCCTGAGTTTAAGAAACAGCATTTTATGTCTGAGCATCACAGAAGGTGAAAGCATATGCTCTGGTTCTCTTTCCCTCATCTTTTCACTCCACTCTGGCCTTCAAATACTAAAGAACAGGTAAAGCCTGCATTTCAAACCCAGCTTCTGCAGTCTCCAGAATCTAGCTGATCCCATGGGGTGATCCTGCAGAGGCAAAATGTCACTTGTAAGAGTGTCATGAAGTTAGCTAGATGCTGAAAATGGGACAAGCCAATGGAAATTAACAAATCTTCTAAGTCAACATAACATATCTAGCTTTGCTGAGAAACACTGGTGTATACAATCTGACCAGAGATAAAAGATAAAAAATATCTTTGCCTTGGTGATAATAATTTTAAAAATGACAGAGTCAGTTTATTTATGTTAGGATAGCCAGAAAACAGTTATAATTTTTTTTCTTATTAGCTCTGTTTAGATAAAACTGTTAGGTAAAGATCTGATGACCAGTGTCACGCTCACTTCAATTTGAAATAGTATTTGGTAGCTGCTCTGGTGCGGCCCCTTCAGGACCCACACATCTATTTCCCTAGCTGCTGGAAATGTCTTGGGCTGAAAGCATGCAGTTGAGCCCCGCTTCAGGAATTACCATGCTAAAAAACTGCCATCTCCAGAGTCACAGCCCCTTCCCATGGGTAGCCTTTCCAATGACTTATCTTTCTCAGGGTATAAAGACTGGCACACTTTCCTCAATTTAAGACAGCTATGAAGGGTACTCCCAGATTCAGGAATTCCTATCTGTGAGATGATTTGAGGTTTCTGCGTGACTCCGTCACATTTCCACTTCCCCCTCTACCTTCATCCCGCATGAGTGTTGATGCTGAGAGCACTCCCTAATAAACTTGCTGCTTTCAAATTTCTGTTTCAGACTCTGTTTCCTAGAGATCCCAGTCTGCATCATTTCAGGATCCCATTTCTAAAACAGTGGTTGGTCAATGGAGACTCCAAATTTTCAGCCTTGATATGAGCTAGTGAAGGTAGAAGATCAGTGGTTCCTGTATTTTAATTTTAACAAGATGTTAATTTTCAAAAATTTAATTCTATTAATTGAATGATATTTACTCTGGTTCAGCTTAGTCTGTGGCAGTGCAGTATTACCTTGTTGCAAACTGGTAAATAAATAAATAAATAAATAAATAAAAATTTGCATTTTTCTCAGAATCCACAGGAAGTCATTTCTTTATCTTCAAAGATTTCTCTGCAAGCAAGTTCAATTTCATTGCATTCCTTACCTTGCAGTGAGATTACTGACTTCTCTCAGTGATAGTTCAAAAATTGCAAATAACAGGAAAAACAGGAAAGTCTTCAAGAAGGGAAAGATTGTGGATGCTTTAAGCTATATACGCAAGCAGCTTTAACGGTGATCCTGGGCACAGTTATAGAGTAAAAAGGCTTGTGATGGGAATGTCATGGAAGCTGATGAGGCATCAGTTGGGGACTTGGGCTTGGTGACTAACTGCCCAGGGCCAGGTGGACAATTTAAGGCAAGAAGATACTACTGCTCTCTGAGGTTTTCTGGGGACCCAGGCTGGCAAGTGCCTCTGCCATTCTCAACATAAAGCTCCCATTTCTGACTTCAAGGAGGTGTTCCGTTGTTCCACGCTCCGTTTAATGAGAAGAGAGAAAGAGTAGAGCCTTTCTTCAAGTATTAAATTTCCTGAAATACTGACAAGGTGTATCTTTTGTCTGTTCCTACTCCTGAGGGCCATGGAAATTTGTCTTCCACTGGCCAGTAGCAGGGTGCTACTGACTTGATATTCAAAAACAAATCCTTTATTATTGGGAGTTTGTGACAGTTTATGGCAGACAATTTGGAACTGCGACCATGGGAAAGGAATTTGCTTTATGGGCTAGTCTAGACCATTATGGTAAGAGATTGGAGGTAAGAGAGAGTGAAGCTGGGATGAATTATTTCTATCTAATCATTTGGTGACATTCATACTATCTCTCTGTCACAGATAGATTTTATATATATATAAAAAGACATCTTTATAAGTGCCATATTTGGAGGGTCCACAGGGTACTCAAGATCCAACAATGTGTTCCACATCCCCTACAGAAAAGACGTATGACTATCGGGAAGAAAATGACTATCAGGAAGAAAGAATGCGGAAATAAATGGTAGACATAAGTCTGATACGAGCCTGAAATTTAAATATATGGAAGAACACAGTGAAAGGAGAGAACAGAATGTGGAGAATGAAGGACAAATTCACACTGGAGTTTCTTGGGGGATGTGTTCTGAACCTTTGTGGGGGAGAGTCACCACATGGAGCCAGGTTCCGTGTGATGAAAGACAAATGTCTGGGCTAAAAGGGAGCTTAGAGACCACCTGGTCCAAACCTCCCTTGTTGCAAAGAAGAAATGGAATCCGAGATTGGCAAGGACTTGCCCCAGCCACACAGCTAGTTATCAACAGCTCGAGCTTCCAGGTTTGTGCTCAGTCCATAGTGCTTGCAAGCCGGGGCTGAGAATGTAAATGGAAGTAAAAATGAAGTGTAACAGTCAAGACTCAGAAAGATGTATCTGAAGCTTACAAAGCCTGGACTATCCATGTTCCATCTCTCTCAATTTTTCTGGGTCACAGCCTCAGACCAAATAGAGGAGTAAGTAACTTGCTCTTCAGCCTGATGCATAGCTGTGTGTAAAACACTATGAGACTAGATGTTGGAATGTTCTGTATGACTCTGGTCCCAAGGCTGTAACTATAACAGACCTTCTATCTTTTCTTGAAGGTATGGGAGTATCTAGGAATAGCAGCAAGGAGCTTCCTATAAGGACTTTTCCTGGCCTATTGTTGCACAAAAAATCCCTTCTCCACCCATAAGGCCTCTTTACACAAAGCCAAATGCCAAGGCCCTTTCCTGGGAATCTGTTCACTATCTTTCTGAAATGATTAAAAAAAAAACATGAACAGTGTTAAGGAGGTTCCTACCAGTGTTAGGGCTCAATATGGGCTGTCTCTAAATATGCCACAATGACATATTGAATATTTTTAATTAAAGTTACTTAAGAAGCAGGTTGGATGGATTTGGGAGTTTGGGATTAGCAGATGTAAACCATATATATAAGATGGATAAACAACAGGGTCCTACTATATGACATAGGGAACTATATTCAATATCCTGTAATAAACCATAATGGAAAAGAAATGAAAAAGATATATATATATATAACACAGGGAGCTCAGCCCAGTACTCTGTGAGGACCTAAACAGGTGGGATGGAGTGAAGGGATATATACAACTATCCTTCAAAATAATAATAAGAAGAAAATCTTGTTTCTTCTTTTATTTAATACCTTAAGCCCAATCTCTGTTTAGATTCTTCATAAATTGAGCACTCCAAACCTAAGCTTCTCCATCCTGTCAATTCCTTTCAAATGTATCATTTCTTTGTCTAAAAAGTTTAAAGGTTGCCTGCTTTGGCCACTTGTTAGGTCCCATTTCTATGAGACCTCTGAGCACATGAATTAAAATTTCTTTCTTTGTCTCCTGTCAACTTTATTATTAGTTCAGCCACAAGAACTCAAGGGGATGAAAGGGTTTCCCTCATGCTGACAGCAGATACCTATATTTAAAAAAAAAAGCTTTAATAATTTCTTTATTGTTTATGACCCCTTTGGAGAAAATGGGACTTGTCAGTCTTATGAATATTTACAAATGTTCCTTCACTTCCTTATGTTATTAATTGTTCACAAAAGCAAATAAGCTAAAGGTGCTCTGATCTCCCATTTCCTGTTGTGAACTCCTGGTCAGCACTAGCAGTACCTT